TCTTAACATTTTTAACATTAAATTTAGATGAATATAAGTAGGTTTCTTGACTACAATTATGGCTTTGCATTTGATTTAGAATTTATTTATTGCATATAAAGATTGAGATTTACAAAGTATTTTTATTTGTTTTTTTTTTTCTGGGAACATGTCATTCATGGATGACTTTGTTACCTCGTTGATTTTTTATTATTTGAAAAAAATCTTATTGAATAAGAATATAACTACAGATAAATATTTAAAATTTGGCATTAGCTAATACTACTGAATTACCCATATCACTTGAATACTGATACTTCAAAACCAAATACACAGTTCTAATTTCAGTCATTGAAATAATTTTTAAGTTGAATTATTGATTGATAATTAAGTATTTATGTTGGACAATTGTTTCATTATATAGTTAATTATACACCATCACCATTCATCATTTTCAGGAACTTATACTTTTATTTGATAACTCAAAGATAAATTTTAAATAAGTTTTTACTAATTGAGATAGGGTACACGCGCAAAGCGCGTACTCTAAGACTAGTATATATATATACTATATTAAAAGCATGAATGCCCTTAGCGAAATATCGTCCGCCTTTTTTACCTTTTAAAAACATATTTCATACTAGACAAAATAGTACTTTAACTATTCCCTATTATTTAGGAATAATCATTTAATCAATTCACTAATATTTAGTACTTAGAAATCAACTAAACTTTATGTATTGAATCCTTCCTTACTTAAAATAGGTAAGACAACATATTTGTAGAAGGAAAGTAACCGCCGAAAGAATTAAAGTAGGAATTAAAGTTCCGCCTACTTAGAACTCTTTTTAGGTTATTCTATGTAGTGATGTATAACCAATTATTTTAGTAAAAACAATTTAATCGACATAGAATAAATAAAAAACTACACATAAAGTCTCGTGAACATAGAACTCATTCTAAGTTTTTATTCTAATGTGATCCATTAGTACTCTTTTAATGTGAATATTTGAAAGGGTATTTACAATTCGCCTTCCAACAAATAACCTTAAAAAAATTAAAGGCATAACATATCCGTACAACTTAAAGTGTACATGTACATTTTTACTAATTAAAATATGTTATAATTTTAGATCTAAAAATACTGACGTTAGTATATATCTGCCACTAAGTTTACAATTTTTTTTTACAAATATCTATAAATATTTATGAGTAAAACAAATATCTGTAGATAGGTTTACAACTGACAGGAATATATTTTAAAATATAATTTACAGTTAAAGTGAATAATATAATATTTTTTAAATTTTTGTTGTAAACATATACATATTAAAGCAGAAACCCAATTTGATAGGTGAAACATAGACAAGATACTAAAATTTATCTATCGTAATAAATAGTGANATTACCTATTATGTGTAGGCGGATCCCGGAAGGGTTGTGGTGGTTTAGGCCACTATGTGAGGATTTGAATGTTCTACGGTTATGATAATTCACTCGTGTGTTGCTATGGTTATCTTGGAATGAGTTAAGTAAAAAGTTTCCATGTGAGGAAGTGTTTACCATGTTAGTGGTTCAGGAGTTGTTATGAAATTCTTGTACTATCGCATGCTGGCTTGTTAGGTGCACTGAGCGGTATGAAATTTGAAAGTGAGGATCAAGGTTGCGGTTTGGTGTTGACAAGGATGTCACGAGCTCGGATGAGCATGAAAGGGATTTGCTATGTTAGAAGTTTTGAATTAAATATTTTCCTTTTATAAACTCCTTTAAATATTCCAATTCAGTCACTTACTATTCTCTTTAACTCTGGACAAAAATACACACGAACTCCTTCAATTTTTGGAATGGTAATTTTGGTAAGTAAAATTATTTTAAACCCTTGTAATATGACTCAACTGTCTTTTCTTGTTTTGTTTTTTTTTCAGTCTTTTTGAGCCGAGGGTCTATCGGAAACAGCCTCTCTGCCCTATCGGGGTAGGGATAAGGTCTGCGTACACATTACCCTCCCCAGACCCCACTTTGTGGGATTTTACTGGGTAGTTATTGTTGTTGTTGTTGTAATATGACTCAACTATCGTATGTTAAAATCAAATATTTATACAAATATATTAAACAAATATAAAAGTGTTATTTTTATTTTTCAAAATCAAACAGATTTAAACCCTAGGAATTATTTCACAACTAGCTTATTCTAAAATGCAAGAAAGAAGCACGAAGGCCCTTAGCGAATTTTTATCCTTTTAAAATAGAGTTCACACTAGACAAGATAGTTATTTGATTATTCTCCTAGCTAATATTTTGGTGTTTGAATTAAATCAAATTTATTATTTTTAAATTTTTCCTTATTTGAATTAAGCAAGAATTCTTTACATTTAGGACTTTAGAAAATTTTACCTAGAATACATATAAGAAAATACTAATTAAAACACTTTGTTTCCAAGGCGATACATTAATTTACGGTAATGCTTATTTCCGTCAACTAGACGAAAAGGACTTTTTTTTTTGTTAAAAATTTTTTATTACAGAAATTTGACTTTAAGAAAAATGTAGGAATTAACTTTGAATTTCGTTTCATAGCTAATAGGGTATTTTTTGATAATCTATCACTAACCCATAGCTAAATTCTACTTAGCAATGAATATTTTCCTTTTAGCTACATAATTATTTTTATTTTCTTTAGTTGCCCTGTCTAGAATACAACCTAGATAATTATTTTCATCCGAAGTTAAAACAAAAAAAGGATAAATAATAGATCACTAAGCTATCCAAAGTATTTTTGTTGACCAAATATGATTAATATTTGTCATTTTTAAGAGCTTATATTTTTTTAAATTTTATTTTATAACTCAAAGACATTATTTAATAATATTTATATAATTTTAAAATTTTATACTCATTGATTTAAGGACCTAAGACTAGTAATATTAAGCGAAGGAAAGGAGAACTTTAAGAAAAAGATCTTTTACCCCTAAATCCACGGATGACGAATCCCTTTAGAACTCCCAAGTGAAAAGGATATGTGCCCAAGAACTGAACGAAGTGTGGAATTTATTAGGGATTTTTATATCGTCATTTTCTCCTCAACACCATTAGCATGGGATCAATTGCTTGTGAATATGAAGGTTTGTCTGTAGTCTCTACATATTCTGTTTCTTAGTGTTTCAATGTGCTTTAGCCGCCTCTTTTGGTTGAAATGAGTAGTACCGACGTACATTATTATTGTACCTACTTTAAATAATTCATACACAACCCGAACACGCTTCGCCGAAAAATTACATTGTATATATAAGGCAAAATCTATTTTTTAACTCTATATATTAAGTTTTGAACACACTTAACACAATCCAAAAGTGTAGTTCAGTGGTTAAGGGGTTCAAAATCTACATAAGGTCATGGGTTCAATTCCCACTAGCTACAAAAAAAATTATTTGAACCCGTCGTGTAGGCTTGACCGGTCTTATTTTGTTGAATCGTCTTATTTCATGGGTCAAATAACGTTTATCGTTTTAATCCTCACTAAATGAGTTTCCCCTGCTTGAAGTATAGGAGTGTGAGAATATGAAGGTTAGATGTTGTCCTATTGACTATTCCTTGAGATTGTATGCATTTTGTTTGAACTGAAAGATGACAACTTTTGTTTGAGAAGGAGTAAAAGTTGTCTCCCTTTTCTTTCTTTTTTTCCACTGATATGTTATTTCTCTTTATTGCTTATGAAGTAGATGTAAAGGTAATAAAAGTGTTGCTCTATGCTCCCAAGTTTTATTTTTAATAAAGCAACAACTCTTTGGGAGATGCTAGATACTTATTCCGTTTAAAATGAAGAAATACAGAAAAGAAGTGGATTAACAATGACGAGTCTGCAAAAGTTCAACTTGATTTGACATAGTCAAACAAATTGTTTAGTTTTGAAACAGGAAAGCCTCGGCATATGCAACAAGAAAAAGGGAAGCTAATTAAAAGATGTGCATTAGGCTGGTTATTCACTCACTTTTTTCTGCTAATTTGGAACTTTGCCTGCAGCGAGAGATTATGCTTAATAAACTAAGACTCCTTTCTTGAATCATTCACTGTTCTTGAGCCGAGAGTTTATCGGAGACAACCTCTCTTCCGTCGTAAGATAGGGATAAAGTCTGCGTACTCATTACCCTCCCCAGACCCCACGTCTGGGATTTCACTGGGTGTGTTATTGTTGTTGTCCTTTCTTGAATCATGTGATTCACACTATTTTTGTCATCTGCCTGAGTCAAATTATGTCATGAAATAGGACAAAAGTGTAACCAGTTGTATACTAACTAGTTACTAAGTAAAGGAATTATGAACATTTTAGTATAAAGAGACCACACAATGGATAATTTTAATCAAAGTCTGTCCTAAATGATCTGACTTATATTGTTGAATGGATTTGATACAGGAAAATGATCATTTACCTGCTGGGAACGGACTTCAAAATTTCAGTTTACTTGGCCATTTCAGGGACAAGTTCCCTACCTGCTGGTTGGGAGGTCACTGCTATATTTACCTTCTTTCTGTACAATCAACTCTGTGACAATTATCTCACAGTGCGAGGTACAATATTAGTGTGTTATATGTCTTATGTCCTTTCTTTGCATATACATCTTTCTCATTGAACGAAAGGTACGAAATAAATCAGACTGATAAAAGTACTACATGAAATCTTTGGTTTTTCCCCTTCCTCGACCCCTATCCCACCCTTGCCCTGAGAAATAAATTAATACTTTCTACTCGAGTTCTATCATGGACTATTTGCATTCCAAGAAAACAAAAAAAAGAGGGTTATAGTGAAACAGAACCAATGATGTCGAGCCATGAGCACCTTCATTCCTTTGTGCTTTCTTAGCATATACATTTCTTTCTAGGTTTCTCTTCTAAGATTTTTATGTTATATGGTTGTTATCTTGACATAACTTTGATGATAGGCTGAGTTACACAAAACACTTGAGTATTTATCTTTTTCAATAATTGGCTCAACTGTTATGCTACAATCCCTTGATTTAGGAAAAATGCGGCGCTTTCAATCTATCAAGTTAGAATGGGGACTTCCCAAATTTCTTCCTCATAAAGCATTCAAAGAGGCCTCTAACGGATACCTTATCGATGACAAATGTGTCTTTGGAGCTGAGATATTTGTCGTCCAAAGGCAAACAATTGGTGAATGCTTGTCCGTGGAAAAATCTAATGACAAATTTAAGCGCGAGTGGAAGATTAGTAATTTCTCAAACCTAGGGAAAGATTTGTTATCTGAAGAATTTACTGTGGGAGATCACAAATGGTACTTCCTTCATCTCCTTGGTGTATAATTGTTTGTCGTGTATATTGTTTCTTTCAGTGTCACTGATTTTGAATTTATTTTTTGCTGAATCCTTATGTTTCTTGTGTAGGAAGCTCTGGTTATTTCCTAAAGACAATGAAAAATACGTCTCGATATTTTTAGTTTCTGTTGATTCCAAGGATTTTGATCACCATCAAAAAGTGAAGGCAAATTACAGCTTCTGCATTAAAGATCAGATAAGTGGTGAATGTGATAAGCGATTATCTAGTAAGATAATTCCACCAACTTTCTTTCTAATGGTGCTAGTATTTATTTGTTACCTAGTTAACTTTTTACGTTTAAGTTTAATCTTGAGCTCTTTTTTGCGTCAACTTCTTTTTGTTTCTATTTGTGTCAGTAGCAAATTTTCTAATGGAATTATTTCCGAATAAATACAACTATAATTCTAAAACTTGTTTTTCTCCAAATATATAATAGTAATTTGTTGAATAGATATCGACGAGCTAAATTAATGTTTCAGTATTGAAGTGAAACAAATGCATTCAGTTTATAAATTTTGTCACTTTATAAGTATACTAGTTTCTTGACACGCGCGTTGCGCGTGGGTGTCGAGTTATGATCACACAATATTATAAAATTATATTTCTAATATCTATAAGCTTTTATACACGAAAGAACAAGGTACCAGTTACCAGTTACTGTGATGATCAATGTGAATCTTCGTATAGACACTTGTTTGTCGAAGTCAGGATAATTGAATATTGTCTGAACCTACGAAAAGGAACGATCCAAATTTAAATAGATACATGTGATTTTTCCAACAAGTTCAATGTCCATATCACTCCATTTAGGGCTTTGATTCCCGATCCGTTGGATTATGCTCACGCTCTGCACCTCAACCCATAATTCTATTTTTTTGGTTCAAAGCATACATTAACGATCAAATAAACATGGAAATAAAAGAGGAAATAATATGATTTGAAGCTCATGTTTGTGCCGTCGATATTTTTTTTTATTCTATAAATAAGGCATTTAGGTTATTTAGAAGGATAATTAGATTTCTAGCATTTTAGTTTAGGGGTTCGTACTTTTATAATAACATAAATATTGATTTAGATTTAATATAGAGTTGGATTTTTATATAACTACATTGGATTTTTTATTTGATGCTAATTCAGCATAGTATTTTTTGTTTGCTCATAAATAAATTTTATTTAAAATGTAGTAATTATTCAAGTGCTAGAGTACAGATTAAGGAGGATCAAGACTCTTTTATTTATTTAAATAAATAAATAAATAAGGACCACAAAAACTACCTCTTTCAGAAAACATAATTTTTTTATGAGTTTAAACGTGTGTCTTTTGAAATTTGAGTTTGAATATGTAGATGTATTGCAAATAATAAGCATGACCCAAAAGAGCTTATTGACTATTTCGTTCATTTTTTGTCACCTAATTGTTCTTGTTCGACAAAAAAAGTTAGACACTTTTAATTTTAATCTCCCTTACGTTTACTTTTCTTAATGTTCGGTACGTACAACTGCTAGACAAAAAATAAGTTATTATCATCATAAATCAATACTAATTTCTTAGTTTATAAACACCAATAGTACAATTACATCGAGTTGTTATATATATATCAGTATTATTTAATAATCGCATTATTATAAATAGACAAAAACTTGTATCTTTTTTCTCTCAAAGAGTTGTGTCGTTTAATAAAATAACTAAGTACTTGAAAATTTTCTAATGGCTAAACAACTAAATAATTTCTTTAAAATTTATTTATTAATGAAAACATTAACTATTTAGAGAAACATGATAAATCTATATATAGTGTAAGAGATATTAAATTTATAATAAAAGGTCACCAACCTTTAAATTATGTCTAATGTAAACCTAGTTTATTTCATAATCTCAAAAATATGTTCAAGTATTAATGAAGCCTAATCTACGTCTTACTAACCTTGAAACTATAATCTTTCACATAACGGTAAATTGTATGACAATAAACCGATTAATATCTCAAAAGGAACAACTAATATAACCTTTCTTGTTTCTAATCATAGCATTTATACAAGACACAATAAAAATTATGAGATGACGATCATCCACCATAACATCTTTAAAAGTTGTATTTCATAAAATATTAAGGGAAGAGAACAACAAATAAATTATAAGTGGAGTGAAAAAAATAAAACCCGTTTTTTGTTATCAAATTGTTCCCCAAATAAGGGCCTGACAGAGTCCTTGCCAATTCACGCGACACCTTCTCACTGTTTGACTATTTAGAGCCGTATCTTTTGACACGTTCCTAGCCAACTTTGCAGGGTCAAATGCTGCTCCGTAGTATATCTCTTTTGTAATGTCGTATTACTGTTCTCATTCCTTCATCTTCTTAAACTTCTTTTCAGTTCCTCTACTCCCATTCCTTGACCTCATCTTTTTAGGATTGCATTATAAAATTTGATATGCCAATATTCATATTTTTTTAGTTCCCTCTCATCTGAAGAGCAAAACAACTGTTTTGTGTTGCACTCGTAGAGCAATTTTGCATTTTGCTCCCTTTTTCTCTCATTCTCATGGAACGCTTCTATTTGGTTTCAAAGAGGTACGATCATACTTGGATAACTTATTATCTGAAGAGTAGTATAAATTAATTAGAAAGTACCTAGGAATTCAGTTATGAAGTATTTTAAACATTACGTAGTAACTAATCTGAAGGATTGCATCTCTTCGAATAAATTTGATATTTTTATTTATTTTATACTAATAAAATAATTTATTTTATACTAATAAAATAATTTATTTTAGAGGGATATTTTGGTAATTTAACTTTTAAGTTATGGGATTCCCACTTTTAATATAATATAGATGAATACCAACAAATGCCAGCCCTTCTTGAGTGTCTATGTATTAGTTTGCTGCTTGTGGCCTGTGCTGTCCTCCCCTTTTCTTTTTGGCCTGTGGTAGTTTGTTGTAAATTCTAACTAATGCGCCATGGTTAAATTTTAGTTGTACTAGAATTATTTCTTTGAACACTAATTATAATTTTTTTTGACTCATTGGCTTAAAGCTCATTTAGAGCGGGAAATTTGTATTCAAAATCATTTACTTGCTATTTCTGTAACAACTTTCGCATTGAACTTAAGATAAACGCCACTAGTATTAAGTAGCTAATATATCTTTCCACTATATTGAATTTTGTTTCAATAATATATGGTGACATACACTGAATTACATGCCCTTGGTTTAGGAGTCAAATAGATATATAAGTGAACTTTGAGACTTTCCTCACAACAGAAGTATGTGCATAGTGTCAGTGTATCAATTATTAGTTACATAATCTTGTTTGGGAAATAGCTTTAGTATTTTACATATCTAATGGCTATTTTTTTGTCCCTTTTTGCTTTTGACAGATTGTATTTGGTTTTCGACTACCAGCCAGAACTGGGGTTATCCAAGTTTTATGCCTCTAACTGAGTTGCATGATCAGAAAAAAGGTTATATTGTCAATGATTGTATTGTAGTGGAGGTGGAGGTTGAAGTTGTGTTTAAGCATGGGGTAAAGAGCTTATCCTAAACATAGTTTTAAGGGCTTATGTTTGACATTATGATTGTCAAATCTTGTGTGAACTATGAGTAAGTTTCGTTTATGTGTTATTTCTGCTGGTGAAGTAGTAGTATTTTTTTTTAAAACCTCTTAAGTTTTCGTTCAAATGTAGTAATCCTGATTAGTAGATGTTTTTTTTGGTAATTAAATGATTTTATTTACCAATAGCAAATATGTACAAAGTTCTATCTGGAACAGGACATTCCCAGTTCCATTCCCTCTTCTACATTTCTTCTATCCTCCTTTACAGTAAGTAATTTATTTCTGCTATTCTCTTTTCTGTCTTACTATTCTTCGATCCTCTAATTGCTACCTCTAGCACAATTTGCCTCTATATCATTTCCACTATTTTCTGCTGATCTTGAAATACTCTTCTGTTCCTTTCATTCCATATGTGGTACACTGTACATGCCAGAGTCAGTCTATAGACTTGAGCAGATGCATTGTTTCCATTTGCTTACCTTCAGCCCATTGTATCTCTGTTTGCCATTCCATTTAAGCTCTTATTATTCCCTGCCAATGTAGTAGCTTTTTCCATATATCTCCAGCAATTCGACATTTAAACAACAGATGATCAGTAGTCTCTTCTGCTTCATTACATAAAGGACAGTTTACTTCTTGTGTAGTCTGCTTCTTGTAAGGAGCCTATTTTGTATAGCTAAATTCAGTACAATGATCCACTTTGGAGCTCCTAGTTTGTTGCACGTTAGTCTCCTCCATGATACTTTTTGATATTGCCCTCGCATGCTATTATACCACTTCTTGATAGAGAAGTAGTTCCATTCTGTCACTTCCTTCATGCTGACTCCTGCTTCTTCTATGTATCTCCTTGCTATAATTATTTTCTGAACTATCCATGATGCATTCCTTGGTTTGCTATCCCACACATCTTGCTTCTATCCATAATATAGGTGGATCCATTGGACCCATAACTTGTCCTTCTTCTTACACAGATTCCATAATAATTTGCAAATTGCAGCTTTATTCCAATAACTTCAAAATGGTATATGTATGCATATATGCATATATCCAAGGGCTTCATTACTTTTTTTTAATTTTAAAAGATTTTTAAATCTATTTATTCTCCTATTTTATTCATAAAATCCAGTAATTATTTTCAAAAATTATTTTTTTGGTGATTCACTTATTGCACTTTTATATCTATGCTAAAATAGAGCCAAGGGAATTTTTGCATATTTTTACAAATTTATTTAGTATTTTTAAAGCTAAATTGCATATAATTGCAATATTAGCCTCTTTTAAGATTTAACTGCGTTTATATTTATAAAATTAGGTCTGGTATTTTTAAATAGTTAATTATTGCTATAAATCATTTTAGTACCTTTAATTTATTTCCAGATATTAGTTTATTATTTTTTATAAATTAAATAGGGGAAAATTGGCTATTTAAATAATCCAATTTCATTTCAATTATAACCCAATTCTGACCCCAATTGAACCCCGACCCAATTGCAAATTAAACTGGCCCAAACCCAATTTCATTAAACCGACCCACCTACCCCTTCTAATCTAGGCCGTTGATCATTCAGATCAACGTCTACTATTGCACCTTGCCTTAATTAATCCTGAAGAACTACCCCCCAAACCCTTTCATTTGTTACCCCCCGCCGTCTCTGAATCCCTCCTCTCCAAAATCCTCTCTACAACACCCTCAAACCCTAGCCGCCGCCACCCTAATCCACCCCAATCCATGGCCTTCCGGGGTCATCTGAGACCTACACCGGCTTTCCATGGCTTCTATGTATTTGGTTCTGTGGTCTCATGACCAGACTTTGAAGGGATTTGGTCCAGTCCTTGCCCGATGACCTTTCTCCGGTCATCCTTGACCTTTCTCCGGCCAGCCATGGCCATTCGAGTCAGACCTTTGACTATCCTGGTTAGATCGGTAACTTTCAAGGCCTTTCTCGTTGCTTTTGGGTTCTTCTGAAACCCTAATCTTTAAGACTTTTTCAACTTCTTTCAAATTTACCTTAGATCCATGCTTGCCATGAGTTTTTAAATGACTTCTCGAAGTTTCTTTAACTTTGCTGTAAAAAAAAAAGACTCTTCATCTTTTTCCGATTAGGGTTTTCCTTCAAGTTCTTCTTTTCAAAATCTTTTCTCTGATTTTAATGTGTCTGTGAT